TGACAATTGAACCTGTTGGGTCATATTTTTTCTTTTCTTATACAATTCCCAAGATCAAAATTACATTTTATGTACAACTTGAACAATTTGTTGTCGGTCCTTGTAATCTATAACTTTACAGGCTCAACATTAAGTGCTTTTGTAAGGGTACATGTTGGGCTAATTGTGGATTAACTTTTTCTGAAAATGCTTATAGGAAGGTGGACAACATGCAAAGGAACGATTTGATGATGAGTCTCTTGATAAAGAGCAGGCTCATAATCATGTAAGACTCGTATTCATACATTGTTTTTGATTAATTGTTTTGAATGTGTGAGTAAAATAGTTTTAATTCATTTGGGATCTGTTTTTGTGATCATTAATTATGGTGTGTTGAAAAAGGAACAATTGACGACCTTTGATTCAAAACTCAAATTGAAGAACACTTGTTAGCCTTTATCAATTCAACTTACCTAATAATTTGCCAAGTAATCCACCAAATAATTCTCAATTTTATGTTTGTAAGCACTTAGTTAAACATTTGTAGTTGACACTTTGAATGTGTATTATTAGACACATTTAATGTATTATTAGATAATGTTCATTAGTAATATGTATTTGTATTTGATACTTTTGTAGATTTATTAGTTTTATTATAATGTTATTTGTTTTGTGGTTGATATTCAATATTATTATAAGTTTAATGTAATGGGTTTTTTTTTATATTTTGGACAGAAAAAACTGGATTTTTTTTTATAATTTTTTGTTGTTTTTGTTTAAAATAAAAAGTAATTACCTATGGATTACCTACGGAAAATCCGTAGGTAATGTGAGCCGTAGGAAATCTGTAGGTAATAAAGTCAATGTTAGTCAAAGTAGGCTCTGTCAGTAATCTGTAGCAAATCTATAGCTATGTATTCCTGTAGCTATTCCGTAGGAAACTAGTCAACTTTAGTTAAACTTGCCTCCCGTCAGTAATCCGTAGGCATACCGTAGCACTTCGTATCCGTAGCTAATCTGTAGGTATTATATCTACGGAATAGTCTGTAGCTAGTCCGTAGCAAATCTGTAGGTATAAATTTCCCACTGGCATTTATGCTACAAGTCATTTTCCGTAGCAAATCTGTAGGTATTGCCTTATACCTACTGAATACCTATGGATTGTACCGTAGCTATTACCCTAGTTTTCTAGTAGTGACAGATATATGAAAATCATATTTATTTATGGGAAAAGTGAATATGTGGTTGTCATGTATATAATATTAGGTATAGAACCATTAAAATTGACTTCATTTTGATTAAAAAACACAATTTTTTCATTGTTAACTTCTTCCTATTGCTTTTGAGCTCATATTATTTCTGATTTAGTAATTTATCTACAACATCTATGTATTTCGAATGTTTTGTTTATATTAGAACTCCAGTAGGCTTCATAACTTTCTTTGACACATACCATATGTACACTTTCATGGTTCTTTTTGATGTGTTATGGGAAGAAGTTTATTGGGTTTTTAAAGAACAGTTTCAATCTTTCACTACAGTTTTCTATATTAAATTTGAATATGAAGGCTTATAGGTAGTTGATAATGTATTCTTATACATGGCTTGTGGTGCAAAATTAAATATTTAAAACTCTAAAAAAATATGTACAAATCCTATCATCTAGTCTAATAGAGGATACAAGAAAGATGGTAGAGAGATTTGATTGCATTTAGTTAAAACTATTTAGTTTTTTGATGGTTCTATACCTAATATTAGGTACATAACAACCACATATTCCCTAAACCCTTTATTTATTAATGTATTAGTTGTGAGACACATGTATTACATGCGTTAACTTAAAAAATATATATAAAGGTTTAAATATTTAAGAACTTTGAATTTATAAGAAAATAAAAAAATAATGAATTATTATAATGGAAATATTTTTTTATCTTTTTAATTTAAACAAATAATTTAAATAAATAACCAAAAAAAACTAATAAGCTTTAATTTTGAGAATTTTAAAATTAAAAAGTAAGTTCATTACGACATTGATACCTATTTATTACTATATTTATTGCAATTATTACATTAAAATATTATGTGGAATTTAAAAAAAATAGAAAAACTTATAAAATGACATGTAGAAAAAAAAAGTTAATTAAAAATAACTACAAAATGACATTTAGCAAATTAAATGAGAGTGAGACAAATGGAAAAAAAACCTTCATTTATTAGAGTAGACTAGGTGTAACGCCTGGTTCCTGGTATGCACTTAATTCATTTATTTATTCATTTTGGAAGGGATGCTCAACAAGTTGGTGGCCCTAACTCGTCGAGTAGAAGGCAGTATATGTGCGGGTTTTAAGTGAGCTACTCGATGAGTCGCAGTACTGACTCGACGAGTAGGACAGGCTGGATGAAACCCTAATCTTTAGGGTTTGCACCCTATTTAAGCATCATATCTGGCCTCCATCCCAGCCTCTATCACCTCAAAACCCTAATCTCGAAACCCTAATCCACCTAGAGTGATCTTGAGCTATTTCTTGCCATTTGGAGTATTATTTGTGCCTTTTTAAGCTTGTGGAAGAAGAAGAAGTTAAAGGACTCAAGAGAGAAACAATAGATCCAGAAGTTTCATCCCTTTAGCTGCATTTTCTGATAATAAAGCTTTAAACTTGATCATTCTCTTCTTAGATCTATTTATGACCTTTTTGTGTGGGTTTTGGTCCAAGATTTGCTAGCTTGTCGGTAAGGATCGAACCAAGAGTTACTCTTCCATATCTAGTGCCTAGAGGGGATGTGAAGACATAAAGGTGCAAACTTTATGTCCTTAGAGCCCCCATGCAAGTGCTAAAGACGTATTTATGGCCTTTTGAGCTCAAAAAGGCCATGCATGGAAGCAAGCTTGAGACTTTTCGTGGTTATCTGATAGCTAGGCCCTAGATCTAGGTTTGCATACGTGGATTTGAGATTCTAAGGCTTTTTGGACAAGATCCATGTCCTAAAGGAATTAGGGTTTTAGCTAAACCCTTCAAAAGAGTTATCAACGGGTAAAGTTGGAAACTTTACCCTTAGAAAGGTCATTCCCAGTGAACAAGTGAAGTATGGACTATAGATCTAGAGAACAAGGGCTTAATCTGTTAAGATGGCCAATCAGACAGAAGGACTCATCGAGTCCATGAGGGAACTCGACGAGTCGAGTCGTGTTGTCCTGATTCCAGTTTATAAAAGAACTCGACGAGTCTGTAGAGGGACTCGATGAGTGGATTAGCCAAGTCGTGACTGAGCAGCTCGATAGGACTCGACGAGTCGGTTGAGCGACTCGGCGAGTTGAGTCGCGATTCCAGGATTTCTGAGTTATAGAACTCGGCGAGTGGAAGGTTGACTCGGCGAGTTGGTCAACCCAGAATGTTGACTTTGACCAGAGTATGGACTTTGACCGGGGGTAAAATGGTCATTTTACCCTTAGATGGATTTTTAGTTTTTTGATTAAGTAATATTGTATAGAGCTAGCCGGGGAGTCGTGGGAGCAGCCAGCAGAGATTCCTCACGCACGAGTTCGACATCCATTTTGAGAGGTGAGTCCTCTTGTAGTAGGAACAGGTCTAAGGTCACAATGTTGGCCCGTTTAGTTGTTAGTAGTTCCGGACTACGTTCCGATGTCGGGGCGGTCCCGAGAAGAGTATATGTATGCTTGATGTCTTTGTGATTCCTGCACGTTATGTGTTATGTGTTCCGGGGCAAGCCCGATGTATGTTAGTGTATCTGTTATGTGTTATGTGTTCTGGGGTGAGCCCGATGTCGGGGCAAGTCCGATGCATGTTAGCTTATATGATATCTGTTATGCATTTCGGGCTTCGGCACGATGTCGGGGTAAGCCCGATGTATGTTATATGCTTATTTTATGTGTTTATGATATATGATATGTTGTGTATGTGCCGGGGTAAGCCCGATGCCAGACGTGGTCTGATGTCGGGCAGGAGTCCGATGTCGGGTAAGCCGATGACGGGTTCGTCCCGATGCAGCTGGGCGGTGTCCCATAGTTGTATTATCTGTTATATGATATATGTGTATGGTATGTTGTAGTTTGGGGGAGCTCACTAAGCTTCGTGCTTACAGTTTTCAGTTTGGTTTCAGGTACTTCAGCTAGCAAAGGGAAGGGCTCGGGATGATCGCATGGCACACACCACAGTTTTCTAGCCTGGGAGATTTACTCTGATATTTGATATGAGATTTTGATATGTTGACAGATATTATGATATTTTGAGACACATGGTTTATGATTTTATACTATGGCGATGATATTTATGGTTTTAATAATGATTTAAAAACGAAATTTTTGGACCGTATTTTTTGGATGTTTCACTAGGTGTAAGACCCTTGTACTACACGAGTTTATTAAAAATAAAAAGTTTAATATCAATATGTAAACATTAAACATTTTATAAAGTAATTGAAAAAAGAAAGTAAATCAATGAGTTTGTAACATTTATGTGAATTTATTCTCAAATTAATAAAATGATAATCTTACATGAATAGAATGAGAACCTTCCATATATATATAATTGTAAATTCTGGAAATTTAATGTAAGAATGAAAAACCTCAAAAAATGACAAGTGGAAAATAAGAAATTGAAAAAAAAACCAAAAAAAAAAAACAATGTGGCAAAATGAAGGAGAAGAAGACATGTAGCAAAAAAAATTTCATTTATTAGAGAGGATATTGTTGTATATATTTGTATGTATTGTATTTAGTCCATTAGTCAGTCCATTAGAATAGCTCAAAAGCCCATTTATATATCTGAATATATTCGATTATTTTTTAATGAATAAGCAAGGGAAAATCATTTCCAAACATGGTATCGGAGCTAAATTGACACCCCAGCCGGCCTTACCATTCTTCTCTTCAACGAATCTTCCCTCTCCTGTCTTCTTTCTTTTCTTCTGCTCGACCATGGATGACAAAACTAAGTCATTCACATGCACCTATATCAAATCCTACATTCCGCTTCTACTCGATCTCAATGAGTTAAATTATGATGCTTGGAGAGCACTCTTCCTTACCCATTACCCACTGTGGAGCATATCGAGTTCATGGTTATCTTGACGGCACAACCAAACCAAAAGATCCCACTGATGCTAACTGGGACAATCTTGACAACCTTGTCAAATCTTGGCTTGATCATACCATGAGCCAATCTCTTCTCACCATGATCCTTAAACCACAGCCAACCACCAACTCCGTCTGGGATACCCTTGATGCTCTGTTCCGCGACAACAATTACTCAAGCGCCATAGAACTCGACAATGAGCTTCGTTCTCTTGTTCAAGGTGATCGCGCAATTACTGATTATTGTCAAAAGATGAAGGCCATCTCGGATTTACTTGCAAACATAGATGGCCCGGTCCCGGAGAAAACCCTTGTCACCTACATGCTCAATGGTCTCTCACCGAATTTCGAGAATATCTACATGCTCATTCGTCACAAAGAACTGTTTCCTAGCTTTCTTGAGGCACGTTCCACCCTTGTTTCCAAAGAGTTTCGTGTCAATCGACCACCGGCTACATCTCCTAGTCACTATGATCATGGCTCATCACCATTTTTTCTTCTTGCCAACAGCAACAACACCAACTGGAATCACAGCAACAACAGCAACCGACGCCCCTACAACAATCGGCCCTCTTCCAATCGCCGCCCCAATGACGCCTCCAACAACCACTGATCTCAACCTTCTTTAGGCGTTCGCTATCCTCCAGCCAACCCATGGAATTCCTTCTACTACCCATGGTTGGATTGCTCCACCGCCATGGACTTTTTCTAGGCCTCCAAACAATTTCCAGCAGCAGCGATGCCAACCACCATCAGATGGTCTTCTAGGCAAACAGTTAGCTTCAATTCATTCTCAGGCTGCCCTTCACACTATGCTAACCCACCTGCCATCCCACCTCTGTGGCAGTGGTTCCCTGTAGCCCCACTCGATCAGCCCACCGATCTTCCAGCTGCATTCAACACCATGTCCTTCAACGATAATGGATACCCTATATGGTATATGAATGTGGGTGCAACATCTCATCTTGCCTCTGATGAAGGTATATTGTCTTCCCTTAGTAATGAGCGTAATTATAATTATGTTTTTGTTGGCAATGATTCCACCATACCCATAACCCAAACTTGACACAAAATTATTCCCTCTCATCATCACCCCTTGCACTTAATTCATGTTCTTGTTACAGGCGATATCATCAAAAACCTCTACCCTATCACTCATATTGACCAAGTAGGAACTCCTTACATATGGCATGTCATCTTTTAAATCTTACATCATCCAAAACAACATTCCTTTCTCCAAACGTTTTGGTAAAAACCTGTCATACAACCACCTACGTGCTTTTGGATGTCTTTGTTATCCCTTAATACCCACAACCCATAAATTAAAATCTCGTTCCACCCGATGTATCTTCCTCGGTTGCGCCTCACAACATCGTGGGTACCAGTGTCTTGATCTTCAAACTCACAAATCATAATTTCAAAACATGTCATTTTTGATGAAACCATATTTTCCTTTAAATCTATGACTCCTAATAATCCTCCATCCTACGACTTTCTTGAAGTTGTACCCTCAAACCCCAACTTCCCGCTTCCGCCTAACCCTCCACCTGGCCACTTACCCTCTGACCAATAACCCTTATCTACCGACCCCCCATCTCACTACACTCGACACACCTCGCATCTATCCTTGATACCATCCCAACAGAAACACCCCTCCCTCCTACTCCAAACAGTCATTCGCTTACACCAAACTCCTCACAACAACCCCCCTTCCTCACAATCCTCTCACTCTATCCATCCTTCCTCCCCTTCACCTTCTCCTAGAATTCCCATTCCCACACACTTTTTGACCACTCGTGCTCAACATGGCATCTCCAAACCTATCTCCAAATTGAATCTTCATACTACAACCGAAGACCCATTACCTCGATCCCATCTTTATGCCCTAAAAGATCAAAAATGGAACAATTCCATGAAAACAGAATTTAATGCTCTTATTTCCAATGGTATGTGGGTACTTGTTCCTAGACCAAAGGACGTTAACATTGTCTGTTCTATGTTGTTATTTAAAAAGAAATATAAAGCGGATGGATCCTTAGAATGCTATAGAGCTCGATTAGTGGCAAACGGCAAAAGTCAAACATCGGGTATTAATTGTGATGAAACTTTTAGCCCAGTTGTCAAACCGGCTACCATTCGTACGTTTCTCTGTCTTGCCACTTCTCGCAAATGGTCGGTTCACCAACATGATGTCAAAAACACGTTCTTGCGTAGTCACCTTAATGAAACCGTTTACATGCCCCAACCACCCAGGTTTCATGACCAAAATTTTCCAGATCATGTGTTTCCTCTTCAAAAATCCTTATATGGTTTAAAACAGATACTGCGAGCATGGTTTGATCATTTTGCTACCTTCATCACAAAACATGGGTTTCTTCACAGCAAAATTGACTCATCTTTATTTATATTTAGATATGTAACGACCACTTCTTACCTCCTGCTGTATGTGGATGACATCTTTCTCACTTCATCGGCTATATTGTTTCTTGAACATGTTATCAAACTCTTGGTTGCAGAGTTTGCCATGACCGATATGGGCTCCCTGTCATATTTTTTGGGCTTTTCGGCGACATCCAACAATGACATCATATTCCTGTCTCATCAAAAATACGCCTTAGAAGTCCTTGAAAGGGAAAATATGTTACACTAGAACCCGTGTCGGACTCCTACTGATACATAATCTAAACTTGATGCTTCTAGTTCCTTGTTACAGATCCTACTTTGTATCGTAGCCTTGTTGGAGTCCTTTAGTACCTGACCCTCACCAGAACCGATATTTCTTTTTTTGTTCAACAGATCTATTTATACATGCATGACCCGCACGAACCACATTTTCATGCTCTAAAACGCATCTTATGTTACATACAAGGAACTTTAGATCTTGGTCTCCAGCTTCATCACTCATATTCCACTAGCCTTGTCGCTTACTCAGATGTTGATTGGGGTGGTTGTCCATCTTCATATCAATCTACAAGTAGTTACTGTGTTTTCCTCGGTGATAACCTTGTCTCGTGGTCTTCTAAACGCCAACCAACTGTTTCGAGATCTAGTGAAGAAGCCGAATACCACGGTGTTGCTAATGCGGTTGTTGAGATAAGTTGGTTACAGAATCTCCTTCGTGAGCTCCATATCCCCATTCTGAAAACCGCTATTGTGTTTTGCGATAATGTCAGTGTCGTATATCTCTCCACCAATCTAGTTCAACATCAAAGGACGAAACACATTGAAATTGACATTCACTATCTTCACGAAAAAGTTGCCACCGGTCAAGTTCGTGTTCTTCATGTCCCTTCTACTCTTCAGTATGCAGATATTTTTACCAAAAGGCTTCCTACTTCCCTATTCACAGATTTTCGAGACAGTTTAAGCGTCCCCCCACCCTGGGGGGGGGGGTATTAATGTATATTGTTGTATATCTTTGTATGTATTGTATTTACTCCATTAGTCAATACATTAGAATGGCTCAAAAGCCCATTTGTACATCTGTATATATTCAATTATTGTTTAATCAATAAGCAATGGAAAATCATTTCCAAAAATAATTAATTCTCCTAAATCCTTTATTAAGATATTTTTAAAACGCACTATAATGAGGATTTTGAAGGCAATATGTAAAGAGTAAAATATGAGGCCCTACAATTTCAGATCAATGGTGGATAACAACATATTAGCAACTGATTAAAATTTTAAGCCCCTTCAAAACACGGCCTTGTGCGGTCGCACACCCGACACCTCCTTCGGGTCGGCCCTAACTATAATGCTACACGTATGAAATGTAACCGATAAAAGAGGGAATCTTTCTTATATATCTTTTCAATCTTGTTTTAGTTTTTTAGTGATGTTCTATTGTGTTTTGTTGCATGCTTATAATAACTAATAATAAAAGGTTTTGTCATGTAAGCATTAGATAGTCTAGGGTTAAATATGAATAGTTGTGTAAGATATAAGGGCTAGTGTGTAATATCTCTATGTATAAATATAAGTTTGCTAGACAATGTTGTTTTTTTGATCTACTTAATAAAATATTTTATCCTTAATCTTTTATCTTAGATCTTTCTCTTCTCATATTGATAATTGTTCATACTTATTCATCACGTGTAACTGTAATAATGTTTGGTGATCTATAGTTAATTAAGATGGTATCAAAGAGGTACTAGATAGGGGTGGTAATTATCGACACGAAATGTAAAATAGCGGGTTGTTCTTACCTTAAATGGGTTTAGATCATTTTTCAGTCGACCCACGTAACCCGTAAAATAAACAAGTCGTGTTCGGGTTGGTAGGCAAGTTTGTGGGTCGATACATGCATTGGATGAATGTTTGAATATGTCATAAAGAACTACACATGAAAGTCTCCTAACACTTCTCCTATAATGTTATTAAGATGCATGGACAAGAATATTTATGCAAACCAACAGATAACGAAATAAAAACTTTTTTTTTGTTGCATATCAATCCATATATGTATTTCCTGAGATGCTAGAACACATTGGAATTTGAGGAACTGTCCAACGACATTGCGAGGTCAATACATGTGAGAGGTGATCATGAGTACCCAATGATGATACTTGAAGCGGTAGTGATGCAAGATTTATGGTTCTAGCATGCATACTTTGGTGCCATTGGTTCCAACAATTACCTACACGTCGTCTACCAATAACCCAATTGTTTATTTTATTTTAACAAAAAGTATACAAACAATTGTAATATCTTGCGGATGGCATATACCCAAGTTAGGAAAGTTTTGTGAAATCATTTTCACATAGTGCTACGTAAAAAAACGATTCCATGCGGCATAATAAGCGAGAAAATTCATAGAGCGGACTTTTGGCATCCTAAAAAGTCTTTGGGGTATATATACGATTCCCTATCTTAACAATGTATATCGACAAAAGTAGAGGTCTAATGTAATCTTGCATTATATTACATAATATGATACTAGGGTGTTGTTATACATCTGTGATGCCCAAACAATCAACTAACAAGAGCACAAACAATGAAAAGGTAACTCCAAATGGATTCTTAATTAATAATCAAAAAAAATTGTCTAACACACAATGAACATGAAATATATATATATATATATATATATATATATATATATATATATATATATATATATATATATATAAGGAGGAGAAGATAATCTTCATTTCATAACCGTAGCGGATCAATAATCGATCAGGATAAGATCTCTAATCAATTATCTAAATCATCTCAAAAAATAAAGTTGGCGAAAATAAAATTTAACATCCCAAAAAACAGTGATAAAATTTTTCATTTTTAAAATCATTAATTTCATACATCAGATGTCTCAAAGTCAACCACAATACAAAGTATCAAAATCATCAGAGTAAAAATAATCAAAAGTGTGGAATCGTGAGGGGGATGTTGTGCCGTCACATTGGACCCTTCCCTTTTATACTGAAAGTACCTAAAAACGTAAACGTAAATTGTAAGCACAAAGCTTAGTGAGTTCCCCAAAGTACCACATACCATACGCATAATTGGGCCCAACTTAGGGTATATTCCGACCCATCATACAATCATGGGCCCAGCCCTGGGGCCCTAGGGTATGTCTCAACCGAATCATACATACATGGGCCCAGTCCT